TAGGATCTATACCTGAAATACTGTGGATACTTCTTAATAAAAGGCAAAGCTGTAGTAATATATTCCTCCTTGATGCCCTGTACATCATTTTCAACATCTTCCTCAATCCCAGTCCCTTTCAGTTCTCTTTGTCTCTCCTCTACGTTCCAAAACATGGGTTGGTCTAAGACTGTTACTTCAGGCACCAGGTTTAAATACGGCTTCCAGTGAGATGTTGGATTAGTGTACTCGTACATCAATGTCAGGAGAAGAGGAGCCCAGCCAGACCTAAAGAACATTACTGGGTTATTACCAAAACTCAAGTAATAGGTGATTACGGTAAAAGCATAAAGGGGGTAAGTTTCTGAAGAAACTGTGGTGCTGTGTCAGTGGGAGAGTATAACAGGGCAATTCAGTATTATCAACTGAGTTGATAGAGGAAATTGGCCACTGTAAAGAGTTTAAAAGCTGATGTTTTGAGTGTTAGCCCTTTGTCAGAATGAAAGATGAGGGCAAACACTCTAATGAGAGGCTAATGATCAAAACTTCAGTTTTGAGACTCTGGTCAATTTGCGTTATCAACTCAGTGCTAAAACTAAATTATACAGTAGAAGCAGCCTGGCTGAGTGGTGAGAGTGTAAACCTTGAAATCTGCATATGGTGGGTTCAATACCCACTCTGACCATAGCTTGAATTTCTTCCTGAGTAATCCCAAATTCATCTCCTTCACCACATTTTTAAAACAGACAACTAATTTGCCCCCTGCCAGATAAGGTTTTAGAGATAGGGGAGGGGATACTTGGGATACTTCCTTGTTAAAGGCTAATGGGTATGTGCCACTGGATGGGTTGCATTTTCATAACTGAATTGAATATAATGGAGTTTCATTTTCAATGAAGTTACTAGAATGGGGTTGCACATCAAATGATTATCACATAGCGATTAAAATACCCCTAAGTCACACCAACAATCTGATTTAAATTTTTATTCTAACTGGTATTCTCTCTCTCCCTCCTTTCAGCACAGCAAGATCCTATTGACTCTAAAGACACAGAATGATCCAACTTCCCCCAAAAAATAACACTAACAACACACGCGATTTCCACTAACATCAGATGTAATTATCTTTACCCTCTTTCTGATTCAAACTCATCCTCATCAGATAAATCTTCAAAAAGTTTGGAGATGGATGAAGTCTTCGGTTGCAAAACAAGTGACCGTGGAATTTGAAACAAGGATTCCCCTTCCTCAATGTTCTCCACAGCTGTCATGCCATAACGATGACAAGATCCCTTTAGTCCAACCTTCACCTAGAGGCAAAAAAAATTAAGACATAACAGCCCTAATTCCCTGCACTGTTTCCTTTCATCCAATACAATTTTGGATGCGATGAGAAGAAACATTTTTCGTGGATGCGTTGGTGAAAATTTATGTTTTATCAGTAGAGTAAGCAGCTGATTTTGGCCAACATGTTAATATCTACCAACTCTTTTTTAGACAAAGGAGGGACACTTTAGTACAATAAATGCCAGTTTTAATTTTTTAACCAACCTTTTCACTTAATTTAAGGTCGTTTCGCCCACACCAGGACAAAAATTCAGCCAATATTTGGTCCGTTTCTTCTGTGTTCTCACTTGCCATTTTGATAACATGCACCACGTGCAGACTGAGAAGACTGGGTCTGAGCTAAGCAAAGCCTGACCAGGGTGAAATAATTTCAAAGTTGTTTTTATCACGGCGCAAAACAAATCAAATTTCTCTTTTTCCTCAAAAGATAGAATACAATGAGGTACTTTTTTTTAAATTCAAATATCCAAGTGTGAAAACATCCCTTGAATCGGAGCCAACTCTTTCAATTCATATTTTTCTTAAGCCCACCCCAGACAGTACTCATTCGTCAAGGCACAATCCAACATGGCGGACGAATTAGTCTACTAATAGTATGTCACTTCTTGGACTTGTTCCGGATTATGGCAGCGATTCTAGCAGTTCCTCTGGATCTGATGAGGAAGAGAGTAAAGATTGCGAATCTAGTACAAGTATCAATGACAACAATTCCGGCAATAAGGGAGGAGAAGCTCAAATACCACTTCCATTACCATCGTTGGATGTAAGTACAGATAGTTGTTCATCTCGATCTGCCTCTAAGGAACTCAACCAGCGAGCTTACAAGACTTCTTCCGTATTCTTTAACCCATTTCTTGCTGAAGAGAAAAAGAAACTATCAGTTTTGGAGAAACATGTACAACTTTCGGAAGGAAAATCTGAAAAAGACGAACAAAAATCGAATAAGATTTGTTTCAAGTTTCAGAAAGGACGATGCAGAATGGGAGACCGCTGTAAGTTTTTGCATGGCATCGATTCAGGATCTGTTAATCCTGGAACTGAAAAACCCAGAGAGCCTAGTTTAGCTGGAACTATTTCAACTGCAGGGACAAGATACGAACCAGACGAAGGAGAAGAAAGATGGGAACCTTCGAAGAAGAAACGAAAATCAGGAGTAACCGACTCACTTGTTCCACCGAAGCGAGCTTTGGCAGCCTTCGAGAAACAGCGGCGTGATGACAAACCATGGACACAATCATTGTAGTTTTGTATATATTTTAAAGGTTGTGCGGTGTAAGAATCGTTTAAGCTGTTACTGAATTAACTTTGACAATAAATTAGTCATAACAAACAAAAATTAATGAATATGCGTGCTTTAACTCTAGCCTGATTCGTACACTCGAGAACGAAAGCGTGGGAGCTCAAACCGTCCAATAGTCATAATAAATAAAGGGGTAAGTTTTAAAGAAAGTGTGGTGCTGCATCGGTTGGGGGTAATTAGTTTTATCGCCTGAGTCGATAATGTAAATTGGCCACCGTAAAGAGTTTCTAAAGCTGACTAAGCGAGCGTTATGTCACCGTCTTAACTTTGTCATTCGCTCTGACAAAGGCTAACGCGCTAAAAAACAGCTTTAGAAATTCTCTTCGGTTACCATTTTACATTTTTAACTCGTTCATAAAACAGATTAGTGGTTAGCTAATGCTCTAAGTCGTACTCTGTTATTATGGTGGTGAGAAACAGAGGAGAAACAGAGGAGAGAGAATGGGCCGAGTCGGAAGGAGATCTACTTTTCAAGAAATACAAGCTCATCACAAGCCAACTGCTATGTTTGCTTTCCGTTCCTTCTATTACTGCAACCCTCCAGAAAGTTCTTGTGGTCTGCTCTTTTTAATGAGAAGGTTTTAAAATACTCCTTCACACTCTCCCGCTCAGTGGGTTGCCTAAACTCCTTCCACACCTCACAACTATCATTCACTCTTGAAAAAGAATTTTATCTAATTTTCTTACACAATTATTAGCAGGGTGCTGAAGCTAGAATAGCCAAATCAGGGTGGAAAGTTGCTAAGATGGACGGTTCTAGATGATGTTTCTATGAACCGAACAGGGACGGCGGAGCTGGGGGGATGGGGGAGGGGGGGTGTGGACACTTTTTGCGAGGACGACGTCTTATTTTGTCTTGTATAAGGAGTGAAAAAGAGACTACAATCTCTTGGTACTTATGTAGAGTATATTTCAAATTTTTCTGGGGGAGGATGGCCTCAGCTCTCTCTACAAACTCGCGCCTCCAGCGCTCGTTTTCAAGCTTCCCCCAGTTGAAAATAGGCTCTGCCCTCCCTGATGAAACGGTCATCTAAAGAGAGAAATTCGTTTAACTTTCGGTTTGGGTATTTTACCTCTGATCACCACAAAGAAATTCCCCCAAAGAAATTCTAGACGCAAAATAAATGTAAAATAATGGTTTCAAAGTTATGGAAGATGTGCACGAATGTTTGTCTCACACTTTTATCACTTCATCAGTATGGTGACAAGTTAGCACTGCCTGAATAATAAATAACATAACGAAACTGTACTGTTACTAAACGTTACTTGTGTCATATTGATTTGTAATGAAAAATGTAACAGGAAAGATAAAGATGAAAACATGAAAAATGACAGTTAACAAATGGTAAAAACATAGAAAAAAGACCAAAATAAAAGAGCTTAGTTTCAGTTTCAGTTTGTGGTTCCTGTTTCAGTATTTTTCACCTATGATTATTATGTTTTGTTGCTGTTTCTTTTTGAGGTGACACAATGTTTCTGTTAAGGGTTCGACAACTTAAAAAGGCGACGCACTGAAACTTCAAAAAGTAAAATCAATGGCAGTCTCGAAAAACTGTTTCATGTGGACTTATTGAAATTTTTTTTAGAAAAAAGCCGCTGCTTAATTCATCAAATCGAATTAAGTGTAAATCATTCAAATCTGAAAATATGCCTCTTCTCTCGTGAACTGTACTGTAGCACACTTTGCACAGGTCACAGGTTCTCGAGGATACCTTCCAGGTCCAGTCCCTCATGAACCACTGGCGGGCGTTCCACACTCTCAATTTTCTCATCAACAGACGACTTGTCAGTGTCGTTGTATGACTTCACTTTTGGCTTGGCAGCGGGGAGCTGAAGAAGATCCTCGACGCGAGTCCCGACTTTAAAAGGCTGTGGTTTCGGTTTTTCCAATCCCTTTCGCCATATCGGTTTTCTTTGCACATCCATAACCACAATCACCTCCTCGAATTCGTCGTAATCATCATCGTCATTATTGTCATCTTTTTTGTCAAAATCATCAAGGCTTAGAATAGGAATACCTGCTTTCTCTCGTTTGGCGACTTCAGGGCGGATTCGACTCTCGTATTTTGTCTTCTTCGGGTCCAGAATGCTTGCCTTAGGAGAATTATCCAACGGATATTTCAACAAAAGATCGATTAGTGCGGTGTCATAGATCTTACGCTTTGGCTCGGGTGATTGCTTCTCTGCCATCCACTCCGGTGTCTGAATGTCAGATTTTTCTTTGACGACTGCCTCCATAGGGGGTTCGTAGTCACTACCGGAAGACTTTGAACCATTTTCAGTCACACCTCGGGCTTCAGTTTGCGTTCTGCCGACTCCAGAGGTGTTGAATGGGAGTGATCGCCGATCAAAAGAGTTGAAGTCGATGCTATTGTTGCTGCCACTTTGCCAACGCTTAGATTCCGTGCTGGAGTCAAAGACATGTCGAGTAAACAAATTAACTTCTTGTGCCGGAAAAGGCGAGCCTTTAATTTCCATTTTGACCTCTCTGCGTTCACTGCTCACACGTCGTACAGAAGTTGTTCTAGTTGTGGTCGAGACCATGGAAGTTCGCACCACTCGTCTAGATTGACTTTCTTGCCGTTCTGTGTGCGCCATTACTCTGATTTGCACTCGCTGTTGTCTCTGCACGGATTAAGTTTGCAAATTTCAACCTTGTTTGATTTATCTGCACTGTCTTTTTGCTCAGGCTTGATGAAATTTCGAAAAAGCTGCTACGTTTGTTAGAGTTTTCACCGCTGTTTAAAATCCTAGCGTTTCTTCGGAATACCCGGAGTACACTTCTAGCTTGTAGACCATGGATAAACACGCCCCTGTAATGAAGGAAAGGACATTAATAAAAGAAAAACGAATGTGTAATGACAGCGAGCTGTGAATGATGCATGCAAATCAGTTTGGAATTACACGTTTTAGAAGCGAACAATTTAACATTTGATCACATTGTTTGCAGCGCAAGCACTCACTTTGTCCTCGTTTGCCAAGCCTTGCAAATTTGCAACGGTTGTCTTTGCGTGTTAAAGCCCTGCTCAAGAATTATACTTTTAGGCCGATTGGAATATGTTTTATCAACAAGCAAGGCCCTTATGTTATTTTGAAATCACCAGGGAATTGTTGTCTGGAAGGTTAACCCCTTCTATTGTTGTTCTATTCTTGGTCTGACATTGGTAGGGATGTTAATTTGAATGCAGTCAAAATTTAATCCTAGCAGCATTAGTTTGAGGACAAAAAGAATTTCGAAGGCGCTGGTCTAAAAAAAAAAGATAAAGTGAATCTAAGAAAGTTTGAACATTTTAAATTTTGTAATAAAATATGTGCTTATTGTTCATCGTAGTGTAAGATAGGAGACGAACTTTGTTCGTTTGTTTCATGATAGAGTCACGATAGACTCTGTCGTGAGACAAACGAACAAAGTTCATCTCCTGTTTTAAATTTTGTCTCGCAAATGGTTCAAATATAGTGACTTCCGCTGGATTCAAAAGAAGTTAAGCGGATTTTTATCAATATTATTGTGAAGAATTTGCAATAAACTTTTCAAAACATTTGACACGACTTCAATCTACTCTCAGAAATGATACCTCCCGAGCTCTAAGGGAAAATGACTTATGGCAAACATTTGTTCTGTGTGCTGCTACGAGTCAGAAAACTTAGTAATTGAATATCAATTAAGCATTGTTGTTTGTATGCAAATAAACTCCCTCGCTATGCAATTTGACTGCTGTGGAACTCGTAGAAGCTGACGATAAGATTCCGCTTTGACTGAATATGTTAAAGGGGTTGTAATTAATAATTTTTCAAGTGGTAAGTTTGAGCTCAGTACAATACTCGCCTTGTCTTAAACTTAGAATGAGCAAGCGTGTTAATTCGCGAGGGGTCCGGGCGTGAGGGTTGGGGACGAAGTTATATGTTGGGTTCCCTCGATTCCCAGGATTCTCTGAATCATAGATCCGTGACTTGAGAAACGTGTGGAGATCTGGAGCGAGCCTCGACTCGCAGTTCCTTGCGAAACCTCTGATAAAACTGCGTGACTT